AACTTGTTATACAAATCACATATGCAACAATAGCAACTTGTACAAGACCTCTTCTTCTTCTACGCCAATGACACAAGTGTATATTTGTCGGTTACCTAATACTTGTTGAATTAAGTACCAAATCTTCAAGTATTTAAATAAATATCAAGTTTAAAAAGCTGCACATTAAAATTTTCGATTCAAGTATCCAATAGAGCTCATACCCGACTTATACCTATACCTAGAAATGATCACCCCTAATGGAGATTTAGTTGTTTCTAACTTAGGCCAAGCCCACCTCTAAAGCCGAATTCAACTTGGGTGGTAGCTATAGTTGTTCCACCTTTTACAGGACTTGTGCTCTCAGAATTTTGTTATTACCTTCTTTTAAAGGGAAAGTTGATTTGGAAAGGCTGAATGATTGTTTTAGTTCACTAACTGAAGTAGTTTAATAACTTACTTAGGTCATTATCATTTTTTAAAATATAAATATGACAATTAAAATTGATAAGATTAGTATTAATTTCCTAGCGATGCATGGCATCACCTCCTTCCCCTAAAAAAATCCGCATGACTTTGCAGAAACAGAATCTTCTCAGCATTTAGCCATTTGATATATTCCTCTATATATGGAAGACCTTGACGTGCCCCCTTCTAAAGTACATTAGTATCTCTAGGGTAGGGAAGTTGTAAGGACAGGTCCGAGGTGCCAAGACTCGGACTGCTACAGTAATCCCTTTATGACCGAAGTGAGGAATGAATCCAAAGCTTCCCGCTCAAATAGCTGTATGATAACAATAATAAGCATGCCTGCACCTGATTCCTCATGATGAGTGGCACAGCAGATATAGTGGACGCTCGTGCACCTGAATACCTCTCAAATTCCCGGTCCCGGAATAATCGTTTGGATAGACACGTCAGGCTCCGATTATCTTGCTTGGCATGCCACGTGGGTTCCTCATTGGATCCTATAAATACCCTCCGAGCCACATCAAAAAGGTAATTGAAACCAACCTTAAGCTTTTCTTATCTCCGTCCTAGAGGTAGCCCCGATTATTGCTGACTTAAGCATCGGAGTGTCTACCCCGAGTTCCACCTCGGGGCTTTGCATGTCATTCCGAAGTGCAAGTGCGAACTGGAGAAGGACTTCGGGTTTGATGCAATTACAGAAGTGCCATTGGTGATTACGAATATCAGAAATTAAAACTTAAGAAAATCAAGCCGTCTGACCAATTGAGATGTGTAATGTGCCATAAACTAACTCGATTCTTTGTTAATTACTTACCCGAGTTATATTAACATTAAATTATGCCCTTGGTCGTCACCTTACGAACAAACATAATAAAGAGGAAAAATATGACACCCAATCCCCGCCATACTATCAATCAAATTTTATATTTTAAACTCTAACATTAAATTTGGTTTGAGAAGAATGGAGGAGAGAAGGGAGAAGATTTTTTACTAATCAGATCATGATATTTAAAAACGTTATGATTTGATTGGTTAAAAAACTCTTTTCTCTTCTCCTCTCCTTTCTTTCTAATCTAAATATATTGTAAAATTACTCACTCTATCTAATTTTATTTGTCACAATTTTACCATGGAAGCATTTTTAGGTAATATATTTTTAGAGATTTATGTATTTTAACCTAGATTGTACATTAAAAATACAATCTTGACACTAACACTAAAATTATTGACATTGAAATTATTAAGTTATCCTTAACGAAAAGACATAAGAAAAGGTTTCATTAGAATATTTTAATAATTTTAGTACTAAGAAACACTTTTTTAATATTTTCACTATATGAATAATAATTGAATTTTTTTTCTATGAAATGAAATTACTTAGCAAAATTTATGTATAGAAAAAAAATAATTATCATTCATGTACTATAAAATAATATTATTATTTAAAATTACATATAGAGTTAGTTAGACCATGTGACCAGTAAAATAGGATGGAGAGTATATATCATTGGTAGCCAGCTAAAAATTTATATTAAAATGTTTCTAGAAAATGGTTGATCAGGTTGGTGAATAAGAAGATTTCACTCTTCAGTTTGTGAATCTTGATTAATTTATTATATCATTAAGAAAATAAATTCTTCAAGAATTTTGATTTTCAATGTGAATGCATCATCATTCATAACAAAGGAATAAGATTGGATCTGACTTACTATTGATAAATAGGCGTTCCCATGTATATGACATCGATCCAATTTAAAATCAATTAAGACAAAACCACAAGGCCACGCATAAAATTTCAAACCTAATCAATCAAATTAATAGTGGGATCATATATATCATTAATTAGTCTACTTATCCCAGAGGAACTCCAAATTAGTAGTTTAATTCAGATGAAATGTATAGCACAGCTGGAACATTGAATGGTGCTACAAATATTGCAATCCTGCCTGTTGTGATTAGTTAGGGGATTAGTTCAGGTAACAGGCCAGCAAATATATTCTCTTTAATTTGCACTCTCTGCACATATAACAATAAAGAAGGATATCATGGATCCTCTTATTATTAATTTATTATTATTATTATTTATTTTTGAATTTTTGTTTGAGTTTCATATGACCAAATCCCAATATGTATGAAATACAACAAGGTACTCCAAAAAAAAAAGAAAAAAGGACTTGTACAGAAGCATCAAACATCAACGGCTTTATTTAATCTTCCCAAGGCAACAATTCAAAATCAACCAGATCGCTAAAACCCTATGGTATGTATAGAATGAGACACCAAAAGTCCAAAACTATATCATTGTCCTTCTGTCATCGCTTGCGTAATTCATACATCTAGTCATCGATTTTAGGTTTTGAATGTGAGACCTCTTCCTCATCTTAATTATTGAGACATTTTTTAAGTTTAAAATAGGACAAATACATATAATTACCCGACAATATTTATTCTTGTGCCTAGCTTGGAATTACTTCCACTGTATACATATATAATATAACTTACATCCCCGAGGATTATTCGTTTAGAGAACAATGATTGAAAATGATGCTTTCTCATATATATCAGAAAGTATTAAGTTTGTGTCTGAATTATTGTAATATATCGTAATTACAATTTTTAATATTTTATTAGTTCTATTATCTAACTGTCAGTTTTGTTAATCAACTGTCAGTTTTATTAACGTTCTATTAGTTCTATTAGTTGACTGTTAACATCCATTAGCATTCCGTTATAAAAAAATATATATATAATTTAAATTTAATTTTATTTGTTAATTCTATTAACAGAATACTAACGGATGCTAATAGTCAACTAACAAAATTAACAATTAGTTAACAAAACTAACAGTTAATTAACAGAATTAATAGAACATTATAACTTGATGTTAAATAGGGATTATTTTTTTTAATTCGTATAGATAAGGGGTTAAAAGTATCATAATATAAGGTAAGAGTTAAAACCTATCAACTTTGTAAGTTAAATGGTTAAAAATATCATATTATAAAGTTAGGAGTTAAAACCTACCAATTTTATAAAGTGAAAAACTAAAAATTGGTTTTGGCCCATCCCTCATCGATCTCAACTCTCTGCTATGGACCAAATGACCGAATGAGAATCATCAATTAATCACCTCACTCCTCATCAGTCTCAAGCTCCACGTCGAAAGGCTAAGTTTTTTTAATAACT